TGCGGAAGGATGTTGCAGGTTACAGAGGGACATAGATAAGCTGCAGAGCTGGGCTGAGAGGTGGCAAATGGAGTTTAATGCAGAAAAGTGTGAGGTGATTCACTTTGGAAGGAGTAACAGGAATACAGAGTACTAGGCTAATGGTAAGATTCTTGGTAGTGTGGATGAGCAGAAAGATCTCGGTGTCCATGTGCATAGATCACTGAAAGTTGCCACCCAGGTTGATAGCGTTGTTAAGAAGGCATACAGAATGTTAGGTTTTATTGGTAGAGGGATTGAGTTTCGGAGCCATGAGGTCATGTTGCAGCTGTACAAAACTCTGGTGCGGCCGCACTTGGAGTATTGCATACAGTTCTGGTGACCGCATAATAGGAAGGATGTGGAAGCATTGGAAAGGGTGCAGAGGAGATTTACCAGGATGTTGCCTGGTATGGAGGGAAGGTCTTATGAGGAGAGGCTGAGGGTCTTGAGGCTGTTTTCGTTAGAGAGAAGAAGGTTAAGAGATGACTTGATAGAGTAGTAAGGGCGTGGAATGGCCTGCCTGCAAAAATAGTAGACTCGCCCACTTTAAGGGCATTTAAATGGTCATTGGATAAACATATGGATGATAATGGAATAGTTTAGGTTAGATGGGCTTCAGATTGGTTTCACAGGTCGGCGCAACATCGAGGGCCGAAGGGCCTGTACTGCGCTGTAATGTTCTATGTTCTATGTTCTATCTAAGTGTCTTTTAAACATTGTAACTGTGCCTACATCCAGCACTTCCTCAGGAAGCTCATTCCACACACAAACCATCCTCTGTGTAAAATATTTGCCCCTCATGTCTTTTTTAAATCTCTCTCCTTTCACCTTAAAAGTATATTCCCTAGTCTTGAAATCCCCATCCTAGGGAAAAGACTTCTACCATTAACCTTATCTATACCTCACATGATTTTATAAGCCTCTGAAATGTCACCTCTCAACTTTCTACGTTCCATTGAAAACGTCCCAGCCTATCCATCCTTTCTTTATAACTCAAACCCTCCATTCCCAGCAACATCCTGGTAAATCTATTCTGATCTGTCTTCAGCTTAATAATATCCTTCTTGACCTGCTGCCATCCTACAGGTGTAGGGACACCCACAAAGCTATCAGGCGACCCAGGGTTTTGACCAAGTGGTATGGTTTCACATCAGGATGTTGTATGACTTGGAGGGACCGTGCATATGGTGGTGTTCCCATGCATCTGATGCACATTTTCTACTCGGAGATAGAGGTTATAATTTTGGAAGGTGCTGTCTAAGGAGTCTTGGTGAATTTCTGTGGTACGTATTTCAGATGGTGCACACTACTACTACTGTGCATCAGCAGTGAAGGGAGTGAATGTTTGTGGATATGGTGCCAGTCAAGCAGGATGTTTTGTCCTTAATGGTGTCAAGCTTCTTGAGTGTTGTTGGAGCTGCTACCAGCTAGGCAACTGGAGAGTTTTTCCTCACATTACTGATTTTTTTAAATTTGAAAAATATACTTTATATGTGTACAAATATATTCTTAAGAATATAGTTACTCTACAGTAATATATGAAGAAGCAAGCATTGGAGTTTGACTCTATCCAGCAAAAAAAAAGCAAGTCTTACTTGGTACAAGATTATATTTACATCTATATGGCAACAGGAGGGTCTGATAACTGATTAGGTCCCCATTTAACTTTGGCAGAAAGACCTTAGATGGTGGTCTTTTCCCACTGTACCTTGTTGGCAGCTGCCCCAAGCTGCAGTGCACCACTCAATACGTGGTCCTGGACCTTGGAATATGCCAGTTTGCAATACCTGGTTGAGCTCAGCTCCTTGCACTAGAAGACCAAGAAATTTTGGGCAGACCAAAGAGCGTCTTTCACCGAGGTGATGGTCCTCCAGGCGCAGTTGTTTGTCTTAGTGTGTGTCCTGGGGAACATCCCGTAGAGTGCATAGTCCTGCATCATGGAGTTGCTTGGTACGAACCTTGACAAAAACCACTGCGTCTTTCTGCAGACTTCCTCTGCAAAGGCACATTCCAGTAGGATTTATGCCTTGTAGATTGTGAACAGGCTTTGAGGAAAGTGAGAGCTACTTTCTGCAGAATTCCCAATGACTGACCTGCTCCTGTGATTTTTAATGATTTTGTACACACTTTCAAATAGTTTCCATTAGTCTGAACTAGAAAGTGACCTCGCAAGTGAATACATCTGGCACCCAGAACACTGGATATTTGTTCAGTCACTCAAATTGAAAAGTGTGTGTTGTTGAATGCTTTCAAATGCAAATGAGCTAATCCTACTCTTGGTTCTTCTTTCATGGCATTCATCATAGTTGAAGTGTAATTGGGGGTGAGGATGATTAGAATGCTCAGATGTATTTTGATCTCTGTTCTAAAGTCATTCCTTTTTTCCCTACTTTTGTAGTTTCTAATACATTTCTCCATTTAATATGAAGCTGTGTATCTTATTCTTTCTTATTCATTATTAAAAGATAGTGGTCCGGTTCAAAAAATAGCAATAAAGGCTAATAGAATATTGGCCTTTATTTTAAGAGGCCTGGATTACAGAGTGAATTAAAGTTTTCTTTGTGGAGTTCATTACAAGGGGGTATAACATTAAAATTTGAGCGAGGCCTTTCAGAGTGCTTTCAGGAAGTACTTACACATTAGATGATGGATATTTCGAAGTATCTCCAGCAAAAAGTTATGAAGGCAAGATTAATGGAAATTTTAAAAGCAAATTGGAGAATTTTGTGTGAGGTGAGGCTATTTAGGGTTATGGCATCAAAGTGGGTAAATGGAATTAAGATATGAATCAAGCATGACCAATTTGAATGGCACTGCAAACTGGAGGGATTGAGTGGCCTACTCCTGCTTCTAGTTTCTGCACCCCTTTTCTTGTGATGTCCTCTGCCGTTAGACAGTGTTTACATCTTCACACATTATGATCCTACATGTAGTAATAAAAGTTAATAACAAAAACATGCAGTTGAACACGTTTGATACATTATAGATACATGTGCATTTGTATAAACTCACTGGCAGACCTCAAAGCAAGAAAATGTGATGTTAGTTTTTATTGAGATCATGCAATTTAATGAAATATGGTTCAACAAATGATTTATAATTTGGAGAGTGAGATAATCCATGTCAGTTCCATGTTTACATATCAGGAGTTTCACCATCTGATATATCTATAAACAACAGTCATAAAAAAACCCATCTCTTTCTTGAAGGCATTGTCCTTTGATCATTATGTTGTGACCAGTTTCAACTCCAGTAGGGTTCTCAAATCGGGGAAATATCAGATTGACGGTGTTTAAAAAAGAACTAGCGCATACCCACTAGCAGCGCCCACGCCTATGAGCTCACTTTATTTGATGAACCCTGTTTTTGATATATTGAGATACTCTTCACAGATGCTGTCAGACCTGCTGAGCTTTTCCAGCAACTTCTGTTTTTGTTTCTGATTTACAGCATCTGCAGCTCTTTTGGTTAATAGCTCTGCTTTTAAACTAATGAATTAGCAACACCTTCGTGTGTTTGTTTAATACAAACTCGGTTTATAAGCTTCATATAAACTCTCCAGTTTGAGTCCTTTCACCTGACAGAAAGCATTGGTGGTAGGAAGGGGTGGAGAAGGTGAGAGAAGTGGTCACTTTAGAATAGGTAAGTCAAACTCTTCTCATGCTTTTGCCTCCCTGCCACATCCTGAAGTTAGCTTGTTCTTTTGAGCAGATTAGTGGGATACACACAAGAGGACAGCTGAGACTTTTTCAATATATGCTCATGAGTCCTTATCGAGTAATTGGCAAATGATTGTAGTATTTATCCAAACGTTGAATGGGAAAGGGTTTTCCCGTTGTATCAGACTTGCCTGAAGGGGGATTGTAGACAGGAAGAAACTGAACAGAGAAGCTTTATATTTTAAGATGGTATGTGAGGAATGCTACTCCAGGCTCTAGACTGAACCTTTTCCTTTCTTCATTCATTCACGGGATGAGGACATCGCTGCAGCATTTATTGCCCATCCCTAATTGCCCAGAATGCTGTTAAGAGTCAACCACATTGCTGTGGGTACTGGAGTCACATGTAGGCCAGACCAGGTAAGGATGGCAGTTTCCTTCCCTAAAGGACATTAGTGAACCAGATGGGTTTTTCCCAACAATCGACAATGGATTCACGGTCATCATTAGATTCTTAATTCCAGATATTTATTGAATTCACATTCCACCATCTGCCATGGTGGGATTTGAACCTAGGTCCCCAGAATGTTACCTTGGTCTCTGGATTAACAGTCCAGTGATAATACGACTAGGCCATCATCTCCCCCATGAACCTATGAGCCTTTCTTGGCTGGAGGACTTGCTTCCCCATTAACAACTAGCTGCCTCACTGGGCCTGAGGCTATGCTCTCTAAATACCAATCTGCCTGTTGAATGTTCAGGTCAGTCAGTCATATTTGCTGCAGTGAGATCTCCATGTCCCCTATTCACTACCAGGTTCAGGATGTGCATGCATTGTGCTCTGGCTCCCCAGTAAAATTGGGACTGACCTCAAACTTCATTAAAAATAAATTGTCTAATTGTTATAAATTCTATATGTTACCATTTTAGTTGCTTTCACAAGTCTATCTTTTGATCCTCTTCAAATAAAGGGATAGCAGCATTCCTGTGATGCAGTTTTTTTTTGGGTTTTTCTATATTTGCAGAATTAAGTTATATAATTTTCATTGCAGTGACATTTGATTGTGGAAATATCACCGTCACAAAACAGCACAGTGCCACTTGCATTTGGTTTTCTTCACTGAAAATGATCTGGGCTGTTCCCTGAGTGTCAACCATTTCCCCTTTGAACAGTTGCTTGTGTGGAACGCAGGTTCATAAAGCTCTCTATCTCCAATTTTAGCTTGGTCCATTCTATCCTGAGAGGTATAAGATTAACTGTTTGTTAAATTCCGTGGAATACTTGAGTCTTAGCAGTATACTTTAAATTCTTTGAATTACATTTTGGTCAGATCCAGAATGATAGTGTGACCATGTGGCTTACTGTTTTCTATTGACCTAGAAACAGGTGGCGGCTGAGCAACTGTTATGGAAAAAAATGTAAACTAAAAATATGCTTCTGACCAGGCAGGTGCAGATGAACAGACAGGCCTATGAGCTCTGTGTCCAGAACCAACTAATACAGTAATAGAAGAACATTGAACATAGAATAGTACAGGCCCTTTGGCCCACGATATTGTGCCGACCTATGATCCAACGAAGATCAGTCTACCCTGCAGACCCTACATTTTACTATCCTCCACGTGCCTATCCAAGAGTCGCTTAAAAGTCTCTAAAGGATCTGACTCCACTACCACTGCCGCAGCGCATTCCACACACCCAGCACTCTCTGTGTAAAGAATGATGTGCATCTAGCGTTGGACCAAAATAACCCAGTATTTAAAAGTACTGTGAGAAAGAAAATGACAAAGCTCTCGTATTTGTTGATTATCCAAATTCTGTCAACAGCCATTTGTAATTTATCTTTGTTTTGATGGATTGAGTGGTTTTGGTGTTGGCATATGGGAGAAAGGAGGTAGTTGGAGTACACACGTTCCAAGACTGCCCTTGCATCTCCAAGATTTAAGGATTCATCTGCTGGATGCTGATGTGAATATTCAAGGAACATCAGCAAAAATGGGCTGATTCGTTGCTTATTAGCTGGAAAAATATTGAAGATGAGGCAAGCGAAGAAAGACCGTTTGACAGGGTGGATCACTTGGAGGCAAGGGGCCATGTGATAATGCCTCCAAGTTAGCAACCCTAAAGTGAATGTGCAAGGATGTGCAAGGCCCTGGGAATCCTTAACCCAATCATGTAGTTAGGGAACCTGAATGTCTGCTTTTAGGTCTGTGTTGGGCTGTGGGCTTGAGGGACCTCCTTTGACATGGAATTTGACTTCCAGTCAAAAGGAGTATTTAGAATATTTAAAAGACACAATCATGGTGTACTATGACTGAAAACTTATTGATTGCTTCCATCGATATCTTCACTAAAATTCTTGAAATGATATATCTTTAAAAAATTAATAAATGGCTTGTGTACAAATGAAAGTCAATTGAATTGATAGCAACTTGAAATTGTTGCGTGCTAGTTGAATGGAATTTCCACAATGGGAAAACATAGCCAGAATTGTGGCCCTAATTGCTCTTTTGATGTTTCCAAGCAAAACAAAGTGACCTGGGGTATTGTATATCGCCGCTACCTATTGTATGCAATGTATAGTTTATTTAAATTATGACCAGAACATTGTAGCTCTTGACTGATGACAGCCCAGTAATCTGTAGTGAAGGTTGCCAGTACCTGGGCTTCAAAAGAAATGGCAGTGAACTAGGGAAGTAAGAAGAAAGATTAAGCTCACATTTCTCAGTGACCTTCTACATACAGCCCTGTAAATGGACACATGGGGATCTGAAGACAGAAGTCAGGTTCTGGGAGTGGGTCTCCTGTGCACAGCTTTCACCAGTGAATTGATCCTTTAATGCTTGTGTTGTTTTGCTCAGGCCACCCATTAATTTAGTGCAGGAGTAACATTTGCAAAGTGTTTATAAGTATGCTGAAGATCAACAGGATGCTCTAAGTTGATTAAATCTTTTGCAGAAGCTCACTGACTTGCTCGACTGTAAACAGGTGGAAATGTACTTTTGGGAAAAGAATTTTGATAGCTTTAAAATTACACATCCTTTCACTAAATCACAGCATTATTTTTTATGGATTATATTTTGCTCAGATACCACAAAAACTCAGCTCACTTGTAGTTATAAGAATCAGTTAATATATTTACATATTTTTACAATTATTTTGTATTATAAAATTTGAATATTACTGAAAAAGAAGACATGTTGCTGAAGTTTTTTATCCTGCACTCCTCAGGACAATCACCAGAATGCCAAATTTCAACTGATCACCATATGTATTACAGGAAAAAAAGGTGCTGATTGGTCAGAAACTTGACTCTGGCTGAGATGTTGCTATGGAGAAAGCAATGGATACCTATAAACATCCCATGCTTCAGGGTAATTAGTAAATTTGCAAGGCTTGAACATGTTCTTTGGGCTTGCAGAGAACAACTCCCTGCATGTGTATGTATGTATCTGCCTTCGAGTAAGGGGAAATGAGCCATTATATGAGCTCAACTAAAGATCTCAAAATTGTTGTTAGTTTAGCCAATAGTGTACTCAGTGTTGTTCAATTCAAGCTGCCTAATCTCAGGATCACTTCTAACCATTGATTTTTTGTTTTAGGTTTTGAAAGTAAACATTGGTTGAGTTTGGTATGTACTTTATTTATTTTGAACAGCCAAAAGAATGTCATTTGATTTGATCAGCCATTAATTTAGACGTAAAGCTTGAGTACCTAACAATATTGTACTCCATTGAGAAAAGAAGACTCTGTGAGAAGGATAAACAATTCAATGCTAACCTCAGTATGTTTAGGTATCAAATTGAAAGGAAAGGCATACATTATTGTGAAGGTTAGCAGTTGGCCAGGAGGTTGTTTAGGTTTTATAAATCAGCAATGGATTCCTAAAAAAAATAGAGAGAGAAAAGAGATTAACATCAAACAAGCAAGAAATATCAAAACAGAGTTTCTACAAATGTAGTAGAAGGAAGAGAGTAGTTAAAGTAAATATTCATCCCTTAGGTTGTTGCCTGGTAGGAGTTATGGGATGAACAGTTTGGGATACAAGCTCGCTTTTATCCATATCAACAATGGTAAATATTGATAATGACTCAGATACTACATTCCTGGTTCAATGTCAAGGACTAGAGTGTTATAGATAGGTCTGTGAATGGGTAAAAAAAATGGCAGATTATGAGAGCTTATCCCCTCTGGTATGAAGAAAGAAAAACAATATCTCTTAAGCAGATAGCCTACAGAATGCTGCAGAACAGAGGGATCTGGGTGTCTTTATACATGAAATATGCATCTAAGCTGGTGTAAGTAATTAGGAAGGCAAATAGAATGTTGCCCCTGATTCCAAGAAGTTTGGAATATAAAGGCAGTGAGTCTTCTTGCAACCATACAAGACATTGGTGAGACCACACCTAGAGTCCTGTGAAGAGTTTTGATCTCTTTCCTTAAAAGGATGTAATTGCATCCGATGCAGTTCAGAGAAGCTTCACCTTGGATGAGTGGTTGGCTTACCAGGAAAGTTTGAGCAGCTTGGGCTCATATCCAGTGGAATTTAGAGGAATGAGACATGGTCTTATTGAGACTTAAGATTCTCTGGAGTTTCACAGATAGTTTTAAAAAAATTCTTTTGCATGTTGTGTGTGCCAACATTTATTGTCCATCCCTAATTGCCTTTGAGAAATTGGTGGTGAGCTCTGTTCTTGCACTGTTGCATTCCTTGTGGGGTAGACACACCCACAGTGTCTCAGGAAGGGAGATCCTTCCTGTGAAGGAATAGTGATATCATTGGAATTCAGAATAATGTGTGTCTTGAAGGGGAACTTGCAGGTGATGGTGCTCCCATACATCTGATCCTCGTATCCTTCCAGATTGTGGGTTATGGTTAGAAAATTACTGTCGAAGGAAGATGTTGACATTGTTTCAGAATAGTTTTAGGGTCACCCATTCAAAACAGAGACGGTAAGGACTTTCTTCTTTCAAATTTGTTAATCTTTGGAAATCTGTATCGAGAGACTGTGAAAGCTGACTGATTGAGCACAAACAAAAAGACAGAAACTATAGAGAGTTGAGGGCAATGAGAAATAGGTAGGAAGTACAAGTTCAGACCAGCCAAAATCTTTGTGAATTTTACAGCAGTCTTGAAGGGTGATATACTGTACATCTGCCCTTATTTCCTGTATTCTAGTGTTAGAGTTGTTTTTTTTAACAGAATGATATGATCTTTGAAGTATCTTTGAAATTAGAATCAGTTATTGGCACCTCACAGCTGAAGCTTGAAGTGTGAAGGCATGATTGTGATCTCAACATTGAACCACCAATGTCACATTAGAGAAAAATATAATCTGTTAATGAATTTAAAGATAGAAATGTTTATGCAATGCAGAATTTGTGATGGCTGAAATGCGCTGTTGGTAATTCTGAATACTGGGGTATCATATAAAATGTTTAATGTGTAACTTAAGAGTTTTTAAAAAAAATTAAACCTGGTTACCAATTGTTACAAGAATCTGCATGGGCTGTCTGAAGATTGTAGTTATTTTGATGTTTGTGTTGTAAATTGCCTGCTGGGATGTTGTGCAATAAATAATTTTACTTCTGTTTTGGTGTCAGCAATGGGCAAGTTGAGAGTACTGTTCTATCTTTGTGAGTTGATTCATGTCCCATTCCAGGACATGAGCACAAAAATCTTAACAGACAGTCTGGTTCAATATTAAAGGAGTGCTGCATTGCCAGCTGCTACAATTCTGATAGTGCAACCACGATGACTATCTATTAAAACTACTCTTTTTTTTGTTGTAGAGCACTTTGGGACATTCTGAAGTCATATAACTTGTTGTATAAACTTAAATCTGTTTACTATTCAATGTAAAGATGTGGTCTATTACTACAAGACAAAATTCCCAAAATGTTCAGAAACTTAAATGTGCTAATTTCCTTCATCCTGAGAAAGTTCCGACACTTTTTCATGTGTGTTTAAAAATGCATTTGGTTTAATGCTTGACCAGAAAATGATATGGTTATAGGCTGTTAAAAAGGTTTAGAGAGAATCAATAAATGTGGAGCTGGAAAAGCACAGCAGGTCAGACAGCATTTGAGGAGCAGGAAAGTCAATGTTTTGGTCCAAAACCCTTCGTCAGGACTGATGAAGGGTTTTGACCCGAAATGTTGACTTTCCTTCTCCTCGGATATTGTCTGACTTGCTGTGCTTTTCCAGCCCCACATTTACTGACTCTAGCTTCAAGTATCTGCAGTCCTTCCTTTTAGAGAGAAGGTATCAGAAAGTGCTAAAGTGTAGATTTGGACTATTTTTGTAAACCAAAGGATACCACAATTAAAGGGACATTATTTATAATACATCAAAAAGATATTTGTTGTCTCTAATTTGGAAAAAGATAGGGAACTGTGCATCATATTGCTACAATGAAATTATATGTCATTACAGGTTTATGCTTTTGTAATGTACGACATGCTGCCAAAAAAAACAAAATTGTCAAGCACTTCTTGATGAAGCAGCCTATAAGGGCCTTTTTAAGTATTTTGCATCGTTGGTGGGAATGCTAACTGAATGAGGGTTCCCGTTGGAAAATTACTTTTTGCACGTTAAGAAAGGGTAAATGAGCAAAGATTAATGATCTGAGAAGTGAGCAGACGTGGAATTCTGACATTTCAGCCATATCAAGAATGCTTTATTATAAATGATTGTTTCATATTTGAAGGTTTATCAAGAAACATAAAAAATGTGTTGTGAAAGCTTGTATAGGTATGTAAAAAGGAAAAGGTTAGCAAATACAAATGTGGGTCCATTTGAGGCAGCAACAAGAGACTTTGTAATAGTAAATGGTGAAGCTAAATAAGTAATTTGTGTCTGTCTTCAAGAACTTCCCTGAAATAATTAAAATTTATGGGACTCACAAGATTGGGGAATAAAATTAGTATTAGTAAAAATGTAGTATTGGAGAAATTAATGGAACCAGAAGTTGACAAATCCTTGGAAGCTGAAGACCTTCACTCTAGAGTATTGAAGTAAATGGCTACAGAGATAATGGATGCACTGGTGATCCTCTTTCAAACTTCTATCAATTTTCCAATGGTGCCTGTAGATTTGGGAGATTTTAAATGTAACCCCACTGTTTAAAAAAGGATAGAGCAAGAAAACAGGAAATTACGGACCTGTTAGCTTGACAACTTGGGTAAAATACTGGAATCTATTATAATGGATGTGATTACTAGGTATTGTCACCATTCACTGGAGTAGAGTGTTGGGAATCAAGCCCTGCTGTTCGTAGAGTCATCACAGAAGTTAAAAATATCAAAGTAAGTATGCAAAATTCACTTATTTCACCTGATTTTCAGATCCAGATTGATAAATCGTGGACCAGGTTTCTGTATTTAACAAGCATTACTATTTATTTCTGGTAATTAGATTCCAGGTACAAGTAAAAATCATAAACCATTAGCACATAACACTATAAGCACTTCAATTACTGCTTGCTCCAGCAGCTGTTTACACAATGCTTGCTGTAACTTTTTTTGTCTACTCACTTGTGGGATGTGGGCATCGCTGGCTGGCCAGCATTTCTTGCCCATCCCTAGTTGCCCTTGAGAAGTGAACTGTCAGGATACTTGCTTTTCAAAGCTCTCCGTAATCCTTCAAAACACTAGTTTTAAACAAGTTCTTTCTCATTTCAGGCCACAATTTTAAAAAGCAGTAAAATAAAAAGACACAGTCTTTGAAAATATTTAGGAACTAATTGTGTGATTGGACAGGATTAACATGGATTTATGAGGAGAAAATAATATTTGACCAACCTGATAGAGTTTGTTGGGGATGTTTCTGGAAGACTTGATAAGGGGTAAACCAGTGGATGTGTGGTATATTCGTTTATCATGCAAAACTACTAGCATGGTTTGAGGATTGGTTAACAGGCAGAAAGCACAGTGCAGGAATAAATAGGTCATTCTCAAGTTCACAGGCTGTGACCAGTGGGAGACTACAAGGATCAGTGCTTGGGTCCCAGCTGGTACACAATCTGTATCAATAATTTAAACATGGGGGCCATTTATAATATTTCCAAATTTAGAACATAGAACAGTACAGCACAGTACAGGCCCTTCGGCCCACGATGTTGTGCCGACTTATTATCCTACTAAGATCAAACTACCCCGCATACCCTACATTATACTATCATCCATGTGCCTATCCAAGAGTCGTTTAAATGTCTCTAAAGTATCTGACTCCACTACCACTGCCGACAGTGCATTCCACACACCCACGACTCTCTGTGTAAAGAACCTACCTCTGACATCTCCCCTGTACCTTCCTCCAATTACCTTAAAATTATGCCCCCTCGTAATAGTCATTTCCGCCCTGGGAAAAAGTCTCTGACTATCCACATCCTTCCTATAATGAGACGACCAGAACTAAACACAATATTCCAAGTGTGGAATTTGCAGATGATACAATACTTGATTGATCTGTAAGTTGTGAGGAGGATGCAAAGAGGCTTCTAATGTATTTAGATAACAAGGTGTAGAGCTGGATGAACACAGCAGGCCAAGCAGCATCAGAGGAGCAGGAAGTCTGACATTTCGGGCCTAGACCCTTCTTC